AGAGTGTGTGTGTGTACATATATATTCAAAAGATACTAAAGCCATAAAAACCAAGAAGCTATTTTCCATTTAGCTCACAATCCCTATTTCTGTTAGTGATCTTAAGTTAGATTTAACAGACAAATATACACAATACCTAACCCAGAGATTTAAACAAGCAATCAATGCAGCCATGAAAATTTGGAACCAGCACATAACTTTGAACACAAATACGTATTTTATACCTGTGACAGAATTTTTCTTTGAAGCAAACTTTTTTAAAACTTTAGTTCTCCAGCTGAGATAACTTAAAAAAAATTAATTAACTCAAGACAACTTTGCTAGTATATGTGACACTACCTTCAGGAAAACCTTAATCTTTTCAGAAGAAAAACCAAGTTTGAGCTGTCAAACTATCACCATTGAAAGGATTCGTATATTGCATTTTATCTGATTTGCTAGTGTACCTCAGCATGCATGTTTAAGGATAAACTGACAAGGTCTTAAAGACAGAGTTTTAAAATGAAATGTTAACTGACCCCTAATGATAGCAATATGAATGTAACATTGTAACAAGCTCATCAGATATACAAAAATGTATTTGTTAAACTCTCAGCGCAATGAAAGCAAATTTTCTTTTTCTCTATAGAAAAAGAGCTCTCTGTATAGACTTGATGCCTTACCTCTAGGTCACAGTTGTATTCCGTGCCATCCAGAAGCATCACTTTACACTGCACAGTTTTAATTTTCTTGGGAGACTTCTGAGGAGTGTTTTCTGTTTTAATTTCAGCTGTCTGTACTTCTTTTGTCTCCCTTTTTTCTTTTTCTTCCTTTTCCTCCGCAACTTTCTCTACTTCCACTTCTTTACCATCTTCTTTAGCAGGCTGTATAAAATACAGTTAATAATGATTGAAACTCAGGAAGGTGGATTTTTTTTAATGGATAGTGGATACTATTTTATAAGCTACTAATAAATAAGATAATAAGCTTCCACTGAAGTTACGCACATACTGAAAGCACAATAACCAGTGCAAGCATGGTCTTCCTCTGGGGAGCAGATATTCTTGCTCTCAAACCACAGAAGGTACCTTTTTTAATTTCCTTGAAATGAGATAATTTTTTAATGTTTTATTGGCTTTTTTCCCCTAACAGAAACAAATTTAACACGAAGCTCCAGGAATTACATCAAACTAAAAAAGTGTTTATGAAAGTCAAGTTATACAGAATCACAGATGTTTCTGTGATTTGAGATAGAATTTCATGGTTTTTAATTTGTGTGCATTGCCTTTTGTCATTTAACTGCATACCACTGAGAAGAGTATGGCTCCTTTTCATTCCCTCCCTTCAGGTATTTATACACATTGGTAAGATTCCCCTTGACCTTTCTCTTCTCCAGGCTGAACTGTACCAGCTTTCTCAGCCCCTCATATAAAAGATTCTCTGTGCCCTTAATCATCTTTGCCTCCTTAGAATGTGATGTTTGAGTGTTAAGAACGGACATGCAGTTTTTCAAAAAGCAAGATCATAGGGCACTGCAGAAGGTGGCGTTTGGCTTGGAATTCAGCACCAGCTTCCCAGAATGAGTCAGTAAGGACAGTGACCACAAGCATGGTTTCTAGGTAAAGGATTAAAAAAAAAAAAAAAACAAACCCTGAGACCATAAGGACTCAGAGATAATCCATTTGTTACTTGTTGTGGTTAAGTCACTAAGGAGGTATTTGTGCAATGGCTTCAGAGACAAAGCTGACTTAAAGCAGCTCTTCCTCTTATCCTTGCTCATTTCTAGCACAATGATATGTTAGCACAATGTTCCTTTTAACTATGCCAAAGTGTGAGGTTACATTACAATTAGACATCTAAAACAACTGGAGTAAAAAATGGTCTGCCACAGTACAGGAACCTTTAAAATCAGCTATGCTACTCATAACTGTATCAACCCAACTACACAAAAGGTCAGTTAGTAGCTGTCATTTTCCCCAATATGATCCTAACAAAGCCTTACATGAATTACATAAATCAGGAATCAGGTCTCATGAAAATTACTCCAAAGCATCCATTAGCCTTCCCAGATGTACCTGTGTTTCAGCACTACTAACGGAGTGTTTTTCTTCTTTGTCATCTGCTTTAGCGTTATGCTGATTTTCAGCCGCTGCTTCTTCTAAGCTCTTTTTTGGCTGAGCCACCCCCTCTGCTGTCTGGCGTTCACTTTCTTCAACTACTTGTTCTTCCCCTGTGGCCTTTTTCTTGGTCTCATCTTTGGGCTCTGCCAAGGTGTATGATTTTTGTTTCTTAAGCCAGGGGGGAAGGAAACGAGAAATACCCTTGCTTTCAGGTGAAGCTTTTTCCTTTTTCTGGCTACTTGGACTACTTTGGCTAGTTGGTGCTGGGACAGATGAAGAATCTTGAGCTTCTTCAGAGGATGTTTCCCTGGACTTTTGATTTTCTGGAGTCTCTGATGCTTCTTCAGGCTTGTCCTTGGCTTTGTCTGGTCCCAGCTGCTCAGAATCTTTCTTTACTTCAGTCTCTGAGCCAACTTCAGTTGTCATTGTCACAACTTACACTAAAAGAAGCAACAATAATTTTGTTATGTAGCATAGCTACTTTTACTGGCTTTTAAATTATTTGCAGTAATTTGTAATAATAATCTACAAGAGTTTCTAAATTAAACTTAATTGGGGTTAAAGAAATACATCTTTTCAAATTCCCAAATCACAAGTAGAATTAGTAAGCTAGAACTTACTCTCACTCTGCCGATAAAGATTTTAAAAAATGCTACTTGAGAGATAGATCTACCAGTAGTTTCCACTTCCTTGAAAAAAAATTTAAGTGTGCTCACTGATATGCATTTGTTTTATTATAAGCTACTCCCTAATGCTTTGGCCAAGATTATTTAACAAGTAACTTCAGTTCTTTTTCTACTGGGCTCCTTGGCTGACCCAGAAGCTCACATTTCAGAAGAGCATCCGCCTTCTCTAGTTAAACTGGTAGATACAATTCCCTTACTATTCAGTGACAGTTATCAGTATAACACGAGTTTTATAAGGAAAGTCTTTAAATCATGAAAGAGTGCATGCTTCTAGTTGTTTCTTTTTACATTAAGAAAAGCCATTCTTGGCTTAGAGACCTGGTTAAAATATTTATACTCTTAGACCTTATATAACTCTTCCATCCTCCTTATCATCCATACATTTTCAGCAAAGAAGCAACCAGTAGGCTCACAGTTGACAGTACCAGAAGCAGACATTGATTTCAGATGGAAAGTCACACCTTCAGTATTTAAGTTTTAGTTTATAGTCAAATCTGTTGCATTTAAAGTTAAGGCTGTATTTTTACAATTCCCTTAACTCAGTCCACGGTGAGCCAGTGGTGGAAGTGGAGGAAAATGAAAGAGCAAGCTTACCAAATAATAAGAAAAAAGGATGGTGAGAACAACACTGAGTATAAAAAAAATTAAAAAAAAAAATCAGAAATTGTAAGTCAGTGATACTGTTGAAATTAATAACACTAGGGAGTGTACTTTTTTTTTTAAAGTAAGATTGGCTTCTTACTCAGGAGTTCATGCTGATCAATATAAAACCATATATAACATTTATACTGTCTCACTTCTGCCTGCTCTTCCTTCAGTAAAATTAAAGAGAAATCATAACAGTATAACAGGATATGCAATAATAATCTTTAGTCTTAACATTATTGGTATTTCTTGAGAAATATTAACTAGAATAAATAAGTTTTGTTAGCTGTGTGGCACCATATTTTGTTGTGTTACTTTAAAAATGTAATAATTTTTTTTTCCAACTTATTGATGTGAGCCAACAAAAATAAGCACACCAGGGTCCAACAAGCAAAGTTTAAAATGGCTAGATCCCATTAGAAGTAACTGGTATTTATTTACAGCCTTCTTCAAACAATTAGTTTTAAACTGATGGTCTGTTTGTCTGGCCTGAAGGTTAGGAGGTTAGTTACAATCACATTTATAACTTTAAAACATTGGGCCCTCTCCATTAAAATTTATTGCCATCAATGACAGCCATTAGAGTCAGGAGGCTATTAGTCCCGGACTCCCACTGAACTCAACAGCTGCTGCCCCCACCCCTGCCCAAGAAGAATCAAGGAGAAGGTAACCTAGCTCAGACTTGATGCAGTTAACTTGCACAACACTTCAAACTGCACTTGAAGCCAACTGGAAAATAGTTTGGATCACAAGGCGACAGCAACACTTTGCCTCCAGGTTTCCAAAGTACATTCGTAAGTAGTCACAAATAAAGTTAAACTAAGCCATTCCCAAGGAGAAAAAGCAGAAAATTTAAAAAAAAAAAAAGGAAACTAATAAATGCCCAAATATAGCAAAAGAGATGGACAGTATTGAGCCAAAGGAAGCAAATTTGACAGTTACCTTATTAAGAAGCTTAGAGTCTTGAACTACCTACAGGCAAAATTTGGTCTCGAGACCAAAACTAACTACACGTTGTGGGTGTTTCTTTGTTCTTTACTTCAAACTTCAGTATCTAAACCAAAACATTCACCAATGGGGAAATTAAAAGATGACTTACTATCTTTCCTGCTATACTAGAGACTTTTGAATACGTTTCAAGCTTAAATACTACGTTTTGTCGCTATTTCCTTCACTTTGTATAAAACCCTTCAATAATGTTAATGAAGTTTGTTGTGACAGAGTATAATATTTAGGTCAGTATTATTTATCCCAGAAGTAATAGGCCTCTGAAAGGCAGATTTCCATTTGACTAGCTGTTGAGAAGAAAGAATTTGCTATTTAAAGACATGTATTAGCATACTAGTTCTAAAGCTGCTTCTAGTCAAATTACATTTTACTATCACCTCCATATCTTACACAGAATTGCTGTTGTTCTTTCCTAATGGTAGGTATCAGTCTTAACAATAATAATGTAACAGTTTATTATCAAAATTAACAACATACAGAAAACCAAAATCAACTTTCCCAGAGAAAAATCTACAAAATTCTGCTGATCAGAGAATAGCAATCCACTCTGCTTAATAGAGTCAAAAGGGAGGTTTCATTATTAACAGAGATGGTGGTGATTTTATCTCATGCATCTCTAAGAAAGAACCAATTTCTTCTCACAAAGCAGCTAAAAAAATTCTAGATAACTTGATACACCAATCTTCATATAAGCTACAGGAAAATGAAGATCACTAGATTTCCTGCATGCATTTTTTACTTTTCAAAATATGCAGAAATGCATGAAATACATATACACTCTAATAAATATTAATTAAATACCATTTTCAAAATTAAGATCGTATTTTGCTTATACAGTCAAATAGGAGGCATCTCCAGAAAATTCCTTAGAACTGAGCAAAATAAGTCACCTTGTAAATGTGTTCCTATGAGATTGTTCTAACAAAAGGAACTGAGGATACCAAGTTACACATCTTAACTGATTAAATATAGACAGGATAGCAGTGGGTGGTACAAACTTGCTCAGTGTGAAACAAGATAGATTCTGCACCTCCAAGTGTCCAGGTTTTTCATAATTGAAGTTATATTTAAAAGGAGAACATGGCTTTAAACTGCAGAAGCAGGGGAAACTTGCTATAGCCCCTGTCTGAATAGGTCTGTCCACGTTCATTTAATGCCTTCATTTGATGCTCATAGCAGGAGGTGGTTTCTTTCATGAGCTCAATTTCCCATAAGCTTGTAACTTCAGTGCTTTTCCAGGGGAAAAAAAAGTGAGAGGAAAAACCTAGAAAACAAAACACACCACTAAGCCTGCAGATTTCTGTATAGTCCCAGCAATCTCTGAATGAGTTGTTAGAGATGGATGAATTTACTGAACAGGGCACTGAACAAGAGTGTAAGGGATAGCTTTCCCCAAATATCTACCTTCTCTAGTACGTGAGCTTGATCGATTTTTTTTCTAGAGTTTCATTTTGGCACAAGAATTAGGCATCCTTTGAGAAATAGAAAATCAGGTCTACCTGCCCTTCCCTGCACTCCCTTCCCTTGTACTCATTATTTCCATGCTCTGTCAGATCCTCCAGTTTTGTAGTTCACAGAAAAAACAGTAGGAAAAGTAGTAGTTCAGTAGGAAAAACAGAGGTAGTGGGGAACAAAACAGTGCTCTGCAATCAGAGTCTACTGTTGCAGGTTGTAAAGTCTCCGATGTTACCTTCACCACAATCAAGCTGATCAAGTAACCAGGTTATCTGGAAGTGCCTTTTTTCCTGATCTGAGAGGGAAGACCTTGCAAGATGCCATCCAGCCCTGTGTCTTAACAGCCAAGAATGTGTCAGAAAGAAAATGGAAATAAGAAGCAGACAGAATTCATCTCAGAATGAGATGGGGAAGAAATAAACTAAATTAGGTTGAAAATTTACAGTTCTAAACTGCATCTTTTCTTCCCCTCCTGTCTCCAAGGAAGCATTGTAAACTCTCATTTGCTCTCAGTATGTAGTGTAAGCACGTTAAGTATTTTTGCCCCTTCATTTTTTAAACTCTGTAACAGCTGCAGCAGGATAGGGTTCTCCTTATCATGCCTCTTTTCTATTGCAAGTCCATATTTCATTTTGAAAGGAAAATGAGAGTAAGAATCTCACAAGAAGAGTGGACAACAGAAAAGGAATCTTGGGGAGATGCTCAAATGGAAGGATTACCAAGAAAAAAAAATCTCTGCAGATTTTGCAATTGGCATTAAACCCATGCACCTTAAACTCCTAGTGTTAACACCTGTATCTTTTGTAATCCTCCTGAAAACTTAGCTCACGCAGATTGAATGTCTACCCAAAATGCAAGGACCAAGGTGGGAGCGGTAGGGAAAAAAGTATTGGAAACAGCCTCACAATTTCTGAGGAGGAATTAAGTTTGTTAAAACAGGTCCCACTTCTGTGGGGAGCAGATGTCCTGCCCTAATCATAACTCTAGCACTTCCCCAAGTAAGGGTACCAGCCAGGAAGCAATTGAAGACAACAGCTATTCTCTTTCCTCTTTGTTCATCCCCTCCTCTCCCTTTCTATTCTGCTGGGGAGAAACTAATGCTGGCCAGAGTTCATACCTGAAAGCAGGGCAGAACACTACATTCTTTCCTTACCAGTCTTTCCTCTTAAACATACAGATCTGCCAGTTGGTTGATACCTTTCTTCCAGTTCCTAGTATAAATCCTTGAAATGTAGTTCTGTGACCAGAAGGATTCCCCTGCCACCATAGATAAGCCAGAAACAGAAGGCATGTTGAATAAAAAAACATAAACAATTAAAGAAAAAAGAAGCTCAAAGATCACAACTGAGTGTTCCTGAAAAGTTACAGACAACGTTGAAATAAAACCATAGAAAGCTTCTTTTCACTGGGGTTGATAATCTGCATCTTAATTCACTGTTTCTGATATAGTATTTCTTATTCATCAGCACAGATGAACAAAACCTTTTTCCATATATTTCTTGATCTCATTTTACTCATTTTCTGAGTACATAAAAGTAGGAAGAGGCAGTCCTAAACTTGTTTTTCTCTTTTTCAGTTTGTCACTGAAATTCATATCAAACTCAAATCAAATCAACTCAAAATCGCTTTGATAGTTGTATCTCCAC